TGTGCACACAAGAATTGGCCTGTGGGATTAGCTAGAAAGGTTGAGTCACCACTCCATGAATTTATGAATGAATGAGCACAATTCAATAAGTTTTGCAGTTTGATTTGTTTTACTTATTTTATAATTTAAAAGAGAACCAACACTGAATGTAATGAAATGACCACTTCCGGAGAAGCTCCAGAGGCTCTCTGAAGCTATCTTTCCCAGACTGTTTCATAATAAATGTTACATCAGTAGCAAAAAGTTCTGTTTGACCTACATGGGAACAAGCCTCTAGAACATTAGCACACCTTTACAGACAACTGGAAGGTTCACAAAAAAACATTGCCTCACACACCACCAAACAGCTTTAAGTGGGTGAGCACAGGAGACAGGTGTATTTCTTGTCCCATATAAAATAAGATTTAGTGTAGACAGCTTAAAGTGTTTTGTGGAGTATATACATATATATCCCTCCCATTGTTTATAAGAAAGTAAGAACAGGTTATGTTCGTTGTACTCTAGAGTGCGGCTTCCAATCTCATGCCCTTACAATGTGCACAAAAGGAATTACTGCAAAGTAGGAAGATGGATCTTTAACTTCCTAACAAACAGAACCCTGAGTGTAATAGTCAAGAATGTAAAATGTGAATCATCCACCATGAAAAGCTCATTCCTGAGGTACTGTGTTTGCACCGGTACTTTTCCGTGTCCTCATATCAGACAAAGACAAGGAAATAAATTATAGTACTGTATCATACATTGCAGATAACACTAGAAATTTCAAGGAAGTAGACAACATAGAAGACACAGCTAACCTCCAATCTGATGTTAACCAAGTCGATAAATGGGCCAACGAAAAAAACATGATGTTTAATAACATTAAGTTCCAATTACTGGACTATGGAAAAACCAGAGTTGAATGTAACAAACTGCATTTTCTCGGTGATACCCGGAGGCTCCCCTGGAGCTATCCGGGCTGATTTGAATGTACTGTATTAGACTGTGGCATCAGTCAAAGCGAATGGAGTTCTTAGGCCTTCCAGGGCCCATGAGCCAGAACCTGGCCCCCTCAGAGGGGCACGAGGAGCAATGGCCTATAGAAACCCTCGTGTGGTTGAAAGCGTTCTATGTCTTCCATTGACCGAGTCAGGCACCCAGAAAGTTAGGTGCCCCAAAACAAATCCTATCTGCTTAAAAATTGCTACTGAAAGCCGAACTGTTGGACAGAGCTCCTCAAACTAAAAAACGAGCAAATGAGCATGATGTCACCACCACCACTGCGCAACTGTCTGCGCAGCTCCCTCCTCCCTGGGAGGGGGAAGGGGAAGCTCCAGACCCCCTTTCACTTTCCCCGTGCAGGCTAACGGCAAAGAGCCGCAATCAGACAACACATGATGCACCCCTGGCTGAACCAACCAGGCATCAACAACCCAAGGACCCCTCTGGAAAACAACAGTCTCAGTCTTCGCTAGAAAAGAAGGAGACGGCTGCAAACGAACTAACCTACCACCAGGACCAAAAGAGCAGAAACCTCTGCACTGGAGGATAGCATGAAGCTTCTCAACCCAACCCCCAGAAGTCAATGCCAACAGAAAAAATTGCCTTCAAACAACAAACTTGAACCAAAGGGGTCACCACAAACTGAGAAGAGAGAAAAAGAGAGCACCCGGTCCAATAACCAGGATGGCTCAGGCAAATCATAAGCAGGCCGGAGGTGAAACAACGCACAAGACAGCTTGCAGAACGGAGCAGAAGTAACATCCACTCCAAAGCGGCTTTGAACGCAAGCTGAAGCGGCTCTGCCAGTGCCGCACGATACGAGGCGGCAGTATTCGGCATAAGATGACGGTCCTGAAACAACCAAGAAAGGAAGAACAAGACAACCTGATCCAAAACTGAAGAAAACCTACGGAGTAACAAGAAATAATGAAAGGACTGCCAGGAAACTTCATACTGCCACCAAGACAAAGCACGGAGGTGGGGACACCTTCAACGAAGTCACCTGCTCACCATGATAGACCCGCATCAGAAAGACCAGCCGCAAAGACTTGAGGAGAAGATCGAACCAGCTACAAGGTCCGACTGGCCCGATCTGCTGAAAGAGGCAGAGCCGCGGGAATACCCAAGGGTTCAGACACCAAGCAAGTAGCACCCGAAACCAAGGCTGGGCCGGCCATCAAGGGGCCAACAGAACTACTCTCCCTTGGTATGTCTCCAAGCAAGCCAGGACCTGAAGCAACAGCTGAACCGGGAGGATGAGGTACAGGTGATCACACCTCGACCAGTCCTGCCTGAAGGCATCGACCCTGATGACGTCGCAGTCTAGGAAGGGTGCCACATAATTCGGGAGACTCCTCAACCACACCGACACCAAGCGGTTCACCTCCTGGAGCCCGTACGTCTGGCAGAGCCAACTGAACGAGTTGACGTTGGCCATCCATTCCGTGGACAGGGGAACGAACTGTGACAGGCCTGACAGCTCAGTGGACAGTGCCTCGGATTCGTAGTCCTGAGGTTCCGGGTTCGATCCCCGGTGGAGGCGGAAACAAATGGCCAGAATTTCTTTCACCCTGATGCCTCTGTTCACCTAGCAGTAAAAAGGTACCTGGGAGTTCAGCTGCTACAAGCTGTTTCCTGGGGGTGTGTAACAAAAAGAAGGCCTGGTCGAGAACCGAGCTGCAGGGACGCTAAGCCCCGAAATCATCTCAAGATAACCCCCTGAACACAAAGGGCCAGGTGAGCCAAACCCCGGGAACTCAGCAGATGAGTCACCCAAAGCAACCAGCCCCAAAAAGCTAAGGACTGCAACAAACCCCCGCGGTTCAGGCAATGAACCACTGTAGAGCAGTCCGAATGGAGCCAGATCTTCGAACCCCGAGCAACCTGAACCCTCCGAAACGACATTCACACTGCTGAGAATTCCCGCACCGTTTTTGGGCCTGACGGAAGGACGGGCCCCACTGCCACTGGCCAGCATGGTGAGCATAGGTCACAAAGCCCCAGCTAAGAGATGATGCATCCGTGAACACATTGACCAAGGGCTCGGGTAGGTGCCAAGGCACTGAACCCCACTAAACGTGGTGATGGTGTTGACATCATGCTCATTTGCTCCTTTTTAGTTTGAGGAGTTCTGTCTAACAGTTTGTCTTTCAGGGGCAAATTTTTAACCAGAAAAGGTTTGTTTTGGGGCATCTACCATTCTGGGTGCCTGACCCGGTCGATGGTAGACATAGAATGCTTCCACCCATACAGGGGTTTCTATGGCCATTGCTCCTCGTGCCTCTCTGAGGGGGCCAGGCTCTGGTTTATGGTCTCCAGTAGGCCTAAGGACTCCGTTCACCTGACTGATGCCATGGTATAATACATTCATATCAGCCCGGATAGCTCCGGGAAGCCAACAGGGCTCCCCCCAGAAATGACAGGTTGGATAACAAGAACCTACCAAACAAGAGATTCCATGCCAATGATGATACTTTTTAGGAAATTTGTGCTATCTAGAGTGGAATATTGTTGCACACTAACAGCCCCATTAAAAGCTGGAGAAATTGCTGACTAGTGAGCATTCAAAGATCCTTTACAACTAGAAACCACTTGATAAAACATCTTAATTATTGGCACCATCTAAAAAATTTGAATCTATTTCCTTAAGTGCAGATGGGAGGGATACATAATAATCTACACTTTGATAAAATTGGAAGGACTGGTTCCAAATCTGCACACAGAAATAACACCACATGAGACAAGATGGCATGGCAGGATGTGAAAAAAAAAACACTGAAGAGGTGCAGTAGGTGTCAGAGAGAACTCAATCAACATCAAAGGGCCAAGAATTTTCAACACACTTTCCTTACACATATGAGACATAACTGGCTGCCCTCTCACAGTGTTCAAAAGAGAACTCGACAAGCACCTGCTAAGGATACCTGATCAACCAGGCAGTGACACACACACAATGAAAATATTGTCCATTCAGTCCATTCAACTACCAGAGGGTCTGGTAGTTGAATGGACAGCACGCAGGACTTGTAATTCTGATACCCGGACCATGCAGAAACAAATGGGCAGTTTCTTCCACCCTGATGCCTCTGTTACCTAGCAGTAAATAGGTGCCTGGGAGTTAAACAGCTGTTACAAACTGCTTCCTGGGTGTGTGTGTGGGGGGGGGGGGAAGAAATAAAAATAAAAATTAGTTAGTTAGTAGTTAGTAACAGTTGACTGAGAGTTGAGAGGTGGGCCGAAAGAGCAAAGCTCAACCCCCGCAAGCACAACTAGGTGAATACACAGATGTCAGGCTGTGAGCAGCCACATCAAACAGCCTGGTGAATCAGACCAGGAACCGGTAGGCATAGTCAGAAACCAACCTGCAGGGACATCAACCCTTGGCAGAATCTTCAACAGGTAGTCAACATGTAGGTAATGCTTATATCTCAAGAAGAACATCAATAAACTAGAAAAGATGCAAAGACCAGCTATGAAATGGCTTCTGGGACTGAAAAATGAGCTACAAAAAGAGGCTAGAGGTTTCTAGGCTCTAGTCTCTAATACAGTACCTGGAAACGACAAAATTGACAAGGAGGAATTCTTGAAACCTACAACTTCAAGAACAAGAAGTCATATTAAAGCTAAGGAAAGAAAGATGCCAAGAATATATTAAAAAGTTCTCTTTTACAATGTGGTAGACGGTTGGAGAGAGTTAAGTGAGAAAGCGGTGGATGCCCAAACCGTCAGTAGCTTCAAAGCATCATGTGACAAAGACGGGACACCACGCGCACAGCTCTCATCCTGTAACTACCCTTAGGCAATTACATGTGTGTACGTATATGATCCCATATTTGCCTGCTGCCCTTTCACTTACCTCACTCATCCTGTCTCATTATCAGTCTGTCTTCATCTTGCATAATAAAGAAGTGGGAGAGGGAATTCAAAATATTGACATTACTTTTTCTTGTACATGTGAATATCTTATATTTTGATAAGGATTCAAGAACATTGGCCTGTACATTATATGTAATGTATACCTTTACTTTTGGCAAGGATGCAAGAACACTGGCCTGTGCATTTCGATGGTTTTTTGCTGCTTTGGAGTTGTCATCTAAGGAAGTTACAGAACCTTTGGTAACTGTGAGTGAACCAGACTCTGGTCCACAAAATTGTGATGAATCTGGGGGATAAAAAAATTTATATTTAATATATATGTTAAGCATTAAGTATCAAATTTATCTTTAAGTGAATAGAAAATCTAGATATGGACCATCACAATGATTCAGAGGAAGCATAATATTATTCTTTATATTAGTAAACTTAATTTATTATTAATTAATGAAGTGGAATTGTATAACAGCCATAATCTCAGCAATAAATTAATAAGTCTTTATAAGCATGAAATATAATTTTAATGCATAACTATTAACCACCGTACTGTGCCAAGTTTATTGTGAAATTCCCCCTGTGAGCATGAAATAAAGTGTTCTCAAAAAATTATTTTTTCTTCGTAAAATGATAAATTCCCTTCCCTGAACATGTCTATGTAAAAATAAATACCAAATTCCACTAACTTTGGTTGTGGGGATGTGGACAAGGTGCGCTGTGACGTCATCAGGGCCTAGTCGCCCGTGCATGACTCGCCCAGACATGGCCGCACGGGCCATTCAAGCACCGGGTGTTGCCACAAATATATTTTCAATTATTTGTTCTATATATTTCCAATGGGGTTTTATTTTCTTTATCGTATATGATGCATATTTGTGTCCTTTACAATATGTATACAGCAGAAGATTCATAATGTTCCATGGAACTGTGATACATGTGTCTGTAATGTGTCCACAATAAATGTTTATTGTCGCAATATTACTTGTTAAAAATTCACTAAAATTACAATATGTACAGATCCACACACTATTTACACAGTAACACACTGCATTACACACTCAGTACTTCGGAGGTGAGTAATAATCAACGAAGTAGTCCATGGTACACAGTGCAACTTCGCTCTCGTTGCACCAGGTACAGATAGATTTTCACTTCCTGTTTCTTCATTCTGTGTGCTTGCAAATAATGCACTCACGTACACCTTTGGCATTAGTACCTGTAGGTGGTATGTAGCCAAGCTTGTAAAACGTAAGGTAGCCTTGAAAAGAGTACAGGAAAAGATCAATTTGTAAGGTAGTCATGAAAAGATCGCTTTCTAAGGTCCCACACAGGAAGAGATTCAGCCAGCCTCAATGAGTGTCCATCAGTCAAGAAGAGATTCAGCTATTCTTAAAAATATCTATGGAAAACACCACCATGGAAGCTGCTAACACTGTTCATATATGCTACTTGTATCAGATGCATCATCACTGAACGCAGAAAACGATTCATCTATGTATCATCTAAATAAATTGGAGATAGCATAGCATAGGTGGGCAAGGATGGCGCTCAGAGCTACAATTGGATACGCCCGCTGTATCGTCCTCATAGGTGCTGTATCACTTGCATCCGACTTTTGTGTTAGACCCTTATTGCACCTAGCTTCACCTATATTATGACCCTTATGTTCTTCAAACAATAAGGTTTGAATTTCACCAACAGAGCGCGATCGTTCAACACAGCGTTTGACAGGTGTTTGGGAGCCAGAGGCGCGAGTGCCACTCATGGTTGCTCACTCAGAACTAATTCAGCCAGCAGTCCTAGGGTATTCTGGAAATTTTTTCCAAGATGGCTGCCTTTCACTGGAGGTTCTAAGAGTCCATTTTGTACACAACCAACCTCACACACATTTTGAATGGGTATGAAAAAATCAGAAAGAGTTTTCTCGGTTGGCGAAGTTAAGTGGTTAAAGGACACTGTATTATGATCATAGTTTTTATAAACAATACACTACTTATAATTTATGGTATTACAGTGGAACCTCAGTTGACGATTACCCTAGAAGACAAATTTTTTGGAACACAACTTCAAATTCGTCGTAAAATTTGAATTGGAAAACGACGTCTGTTCGTACGCATAACGGCCGAATGAGCGCGTGGTGCTGCGGGCAAGGGGCGAGGTGCTCTCAGTTTGTTTACAAGTCTATTCCAATGACCAATCTTGAATTCTTTGTAAAGAATTTCATTATTTTTGTTTTTTTGTTTTCTGAACACGTTGTTTTAGATTTAGCTACTCAAAACGAAATGTCCATGTAACACAGGCTATGGTGAGCCCGTAAAGAGGGCTCTGAACAGAAAAATTCTTATTATATATCACGCCATATGTCCCAGGATGTTACAGACTAGTCACCACCGTCTGAGTGTGGCCTGGTAATTCCAGCGCCATCTAAAAGTCTGCACTCCAACCCTCATGATATTGGATGCTATGTAGACAACCCCATCTGGTGGTGGTAGCCTGACATCGGCAAATGCCCTGGTTTCCTGCCTTGGCTATACAGGGAGGTCGGTGTGAAGGTCTTAATCCGCCACCTGTGGTGAGGTGGCGGATCAAGATCAGCGCCATCTAGGTTGTGCTACATGCATAATGTCAACTCCCCAGTGAGTGTTGCTTCATGGTTTCACCAGTACCGTCAATTTAACTGATGACGTGTTTGTGTCCACAGAGGTGACGTGGGACAGCAGTGGTACTGGAGACGCCAGTTTACCTTGGGCAGTCGACGTTCTCCCGACTTAGTCCTGCAAGACGACTAAGTAAGCTGCCGCCGATCTAAAGCAGTGTATATTGACTGCTGCTTATGTAGTATTGGAAGAGATCGGTGTATTCCAGGCCTGGCTTGGGGAAGAAACGAACGACAGTGAGGTGCCTGTTGGGAAGCGCTGCTAGCCGGATGCTAGAGGCTTCTGCCACGGGTTTGCTACCCCTGTATCGATTGTTTTGTGGCCCCGATCAGCGTGTGGCTGAGGTTCTCTGCCATCAAGTGGCTGGAGAGTGGTCGTGGGGTATAGGCACCGCGTAATACTGTTAGTGGGCTGGCCCACGTACAAGGTGAAACTCGCCAGTGTTTCCCAGTACGGTTGGACAAAGTACTGGGTGAGAAAAACACTGGGGCTTGACGAACACTGCACGTGAGTGCGTTTGATGTCCTGTGTGAATGGGTCACTGTACATAGGTGTAAAAATAGTCTATTTATTCTAATATATATATATTTTAACGGTGGAGGTAGATATATTTAAAAAGGGAATAGTGTATTGTTTATCCCCCCTCCTTCCTTCTATTCATTGCATTATATAGCAAATTCCTTGAAAGCCACTCGGGGTCGGATACGACAAACAAGGTTCACTCATCAAGGAACCCGGTTACTGGTCCATAGTGACCATAACAGTGAGGGGACTGGATGGATGGATGGTGAGGGGACTGGATGGAAGGATGGATGGTGAGGGGACTGGATGGATGGATGGATGGATGGATGGATGATGCAGGGACTAGATGGATGGATGGATGGATGATGCAGGGACTAGATGGATGGATGGTGATGGGACTGGACGGATGGATGGTGAAGGGACTGGATGGATGGATTGATGGTGAGGGGACTGGATGGATGGTGGGGTGAACCTCCGGCCCCCACACCGCACCCTCCCTGCCAACCCCCATCCCGCCACTGGACTCTCCCCACCTCTCCCATACTCCCACCGGAACCTCCCCACTACCTCCATTCCCCACACCGCCCCCCCCCCCCCCCACCATAGCTGTACCAGCCACATCTGGACGATATTAATACAGGCTTCGTTGCTACCAGCTGGTGGATCACGAGGCAAACTGCATGACATTAAATTCTTGTTGTTTACTGAATGTAAAAGCCTGACTGACTGTAAATGGCTGAATGACTAAACGCCTAATCGGTTGCTACTACAACTGTGAATGCTACACTGCCTTTGGTTATGACTGCCTATGACTGGTCTTGACTGTGAATGCTTGACTGACTTGTGACTAAGTGACTGGTCCTGACTGGCTGCCACATAACAGAGGCAGTGAGATGTGTGAAAGGAAAATCTAAAACCAGTGATGCAGATATGAATGCACTTAAGGTGAGCATAGGACAGTCTCACCTCCTCCATCCCTCACTCCTCCTCACCCTCCCCATACACCAACACTGCTCCTCCCTCCTCACTGTCTCCCATATGCCACTAAGAGTCCCCAGTGAAGGTAAAGTGGAGTTAAATGTTCACTTATTTTATTTATGGTTTATATTTATACCTGATTGTTTTATGTATGAATAATATGAGTAGTATGCTGTATAAAATGTATTTTAAGTTAATATTTTTGGGGGTGTGGAATGGATTAATTCAATTTACATTATTTCTTACGGGAAAATTCGTTTTGGTTGATGAATTTTTGGAAGACGACATGTCTCCAGGAACGAATTATGATTGTGAACAAAGGTACCACTGTATAGAGAAACAATAGTATGCAAGTAGTATACACTTAGGTTTGCCTTACAAGCAAAATGTTATTTACAAATAAAGTATACCCTCATTTTACTGCTTCTCTACATTGCAGTTAGCACTCTGTCCTTGTTTTAATTAATTTCTGATAAAAAAAAACATTGAATGTAATGAAACGCCTTTTTCTGAGTGAGCCACAGAGGCGCCCTGAAGCTATCGGACTACTATACGATATATTAGTCTAGGGTATCAGTCAATTGGAGTTCAGCCTACCAGGGATCACAAGCCAGAATCTGGCCCCCTCAGAATAGCTCAGAGAGGCACAGGGAGCAATGATGACCACCCCAGAGCCCATCAGCCTACGAACTGAAGGTGTGAGTAGCCGGCGTCCCAGGAAGGGGAGGGCTGCACGGACAAGTGGCATGGCGGCGGTGAATGACATTTGCTTGTTTGGTTGTTTCATTATGTTTTGGGGAGAGTTCTCTCTCTTTGTTCGGTCTTCAGTTGCAATTTCTTACCAGGTGGGGTTTGTTTTGTTATGCTTACTTTTCTGGGTGCCTAACTCTGGTCGATGGCAGACATGGAATGCTCCCAAACACACGGGGGAGTTTCCATAGGCCATTACTCCCTGGGCCTTTTTGAGGGAACCAGGTTCTGGCTCATGGTCCCCGGTAGGCAGAACTCCAATTGACTGATGCCCCAGATTAATATAGCGTATATCAGTCCAATAGCTCCAGGGGGCCAGAGGAGCTCCCCATAGAAATAAGGTAAATACAATTATGATACAGTATTTTTTATTAGAGTAGTAATATATATATAGGTACGGTATATAATATGATAATGCATTTTTGTTGTGTACAAGGGAAAAAAAAAGACACTGATGCAAATGCCTAATGGAGGCATCACCTGTTGCAATGAACTGGGGTTGGTCCCAAACAGAAGGCCGAAACGAGGTTGTACTGTACAATGGTCCTCATCGTTATTGTAAGTACTACCAAAACAGGAGGATGGGCTGAATAGGTACACAGAGAGAACTCTATCAACATCAAGGATCCAAATATTTTCAACACTCTCCTACTACACATAAGGGCATAACTGGCTGGCCCCCTCACCGAGTCCAAGAGAGAACTTGATAAACACCTCCAAAGAATACTGTATCAACTAAACTATGATCAGCTGCTTGGTTGATCAGGCCACCAACAAGGAAGCCTGATCAAAGACTGGGCTGCAGGGATGTTGATCTCAGGAACGAACACCCGGTATAAAAATAAAAAAAATAAAAAAAAAAGGATAGAAAAATAAATAAAAAAGGATAAAAAAAAAGAAACATTATATGTCTTTATTATAAACATGGCTTACTTACTAGAAACAGGTTGTGAGGAGATGGAACGACGTGGTGCCATATCTTTTTGCCTCTTGATATATTCTACAATTTCATGAAGTTTCTTTGTACTGGTTTGGTGAACCTCTGAATCACACTCATAACACCTGTAAAAAATTAAACCTTATGTAATTACACTTGGAAATAATACCAAATTGCATAGTTATGGTCTGAGATAAAAGCTGCATGCAGCTCTAATAACAGCAATCTTATCAAGAATTGCTGCATTCATCAAAAATGTCAACATTTCTTTAACCACTGGACTGCGTTAGACGAGAAAACTCATTCACCAGAAACTTTGCAGGCCAAGAAAACACCAATTTAAGATTTTGTACCATTCAAAACGCATGCGCTGTAGGTTGGGTATGAAATGGAATCCTGGGACCTGCAGAAAGAGGCATCCATCTTGGAAAAATTCCCAGAATGCACTAGGGGGGGTCGGGAGCCGGTCGGCCGAGCGGACAGCACGCTGGACTTGTGATCCTGTGGTCCCGGGTTCGATCCCGGGTGCCGGCGAGAAACAATGGGCAGAGTTTCTTTCACCCTATGCCCCAGTTACCTAGCTGTAAAATAGGTACCTGGGTGTTAGTCAGCTGTCACGAGCTGCTTCCTGGGGGTGGAGGCCTGGTCGAGGACCAGGCCGCGGGGACACTAAAAGCCCCGAAATCATCTCAAGATAACCTCAAGATAACCTCAAGGGCTGCTGGCTGGCTCAGTTCCGAGTGAGCAATCGTGGGTGGCGCAAGCGCCTTTGGCTCATAATCCCCTGTTCGATGCGGTGTTGAAAGATCGCTATCTATCAGTGAAATTCATAACTTATTGTGTGAAGAACATAAGGGTCATGATATTGATGAAGCTAGGCACAATAAGGACCTGACACAAGAGTTGGATGCAAGTGATACAGCACTGATGAGGACGATATGGCAAGCATATCCAGTAGTAGATAAGTGCCACCCATGCTCACCCTTGTCATCTCCAATTTTTATAGATGCACCCACTTTCCCATATACAGGTGAAGATATGAGTGATACCAGGACAGAATTTTGTCACTGAGGTTTTCCTAGATCTTTCCAAGAATATCTGGATTTTTTCAATCCTACCTTGTAAAGTGATCTTTTCAGGAATAGCTGCATCTCTACAGGTACTATAGCCAATGGTGAATGTAAGTACGTTATTTGCAAGTGAACACAACGAAGAAACAGGAAGCAAAAATAGATTCGTACCTGATGAATCGAGTGCAAAGTTGCGCTGTGTACCATGGACCGCTTCTTTGATTTTCACTCACTTACAAAGTACAGTGGTACCTCGCATAACGATTGCCCCAAAAGACGAATATTTTGGGTAACGAACGGCCCGATCAGCGTCAAATCGTCCCATATGACGAACGCTGGTTTGAGTAACGTCAACACCACATGGTGGGGTCGCGCTGCTGCTTGCACATTCTTAGACGCCTCCGACGATGCACATAAATTATGTTGTTCTTGTTTAAAGATGCTAATGATGCTGGGATATAAAAGGGTGACTGCTGAGATGTTGCAAAGCATTGACGTTTTTGTAGGAAACAAGAAATGAAATGTCTGATATACAACAAATGTCAAAAAAGTTCGTTCGGTGTTCGGCAGGTAGGCTGCTCCATTATAACAATCTTTCTTTGTTTCAAATGTGTTCCATTTGTTTTTTATTTGTCATTTACGTCTCAATAATGGAGAAGCCTACCTTACATACACTGAATAAACCATTATGACATTTTCCTTTCTTCAAATGTGTTCAATATTTATTTTTCATTTGTCTTATAGCAAAAGGTTTGTTCGGTGGTCGGCAGGTAGGCTGCTCCATGTTTCTTACATACAAAAAACGTAAATAATAAAAAATATGAAGAATTTTTAAAACCAGTACAAATGTCAAAAATGTTCGTTCGGTGGTCTACAGGTCGACTGCTCCATGTTTATTAAAAAAAAAAAAAAAAAAAAAAAATAAAAGAACTGTTGAAACAATTTGAAAAATGGACAAATGTCATAAAGGTTCGTTCAGTGTTTGTTGGGTAGGCTGCTCCATTATTGAGACGTAAGTGATAAATACAAAACAAATGGAACACATTTGAAACAAAGAAAGATTGTCATAATGGAGCAGCCTACCCAACAAACACTGAACGAACCTTTTGCTATAACGAATATGAAAGACAAGGGCTGCTGGCTGGGTTAGTAGTGCGTGAGCAACCATTTGTAGCACACATGCCTAAGGCTCTCAAACACCTGTCCCACACGGTGTTGAAAGACTGTACTCAGTCAGTGCAATTCAGACCCTATTGTTTGAAGAACATAAGGGTCATAACATTGGTGAAGCTAGGCGCAATAAGGGCTTAACACAACGGTCGGATGCCTGTGATACAGCACCTATGAGGATGATACAGCGAGCGTATCCAGGTGTAGCTCTGAGCCCCACCCTTGCCATCTCTAATGTATATAGATGATACATAGATGAATCGTTTTCTGCGTTCAGTGATGATGCATCTGATACAAGTAGCATAGATGAACAGTGTTAGCGGCTTCCATGGTGGTGGTGTTCATTGATATTTTTAAGAATACCTGAATCTTTTCCTGACTGATGGACACTCTTTGAGGCTAGCTGAATCTCTTCCTGACTGATGGACACTCTTTGAGGCTAGCTGAATCTCTTCCTGTGTGGGACCTTACAAAGCGATCTTTTCAAGACTACCTTACAAATTGAGCTTTTCCTATAATCGTTTCAATACTACCTTATGCTTTACAAGCTTGGCTACATACCACCTACAAGTACTAAAGCCAAGGGTGCACGCGAGTGCATTATTTGCAAGCACACAGAACGATGAAACAGGAAACAAAAATCTATCTGTAGCTGGTGCAAGGAGAGCAAAGTCGCGCTGTGTACCATGGACTACTTCGTTGACTATTACGCACCTCCAAAGTACTGAGTGTGTAATACAGTGTGTTACTGTGTAAATAGTATGTGAAACTGTACATATTGTAATATTAGTGCATTTTTACCACGTAATATTGTGACAATAAACATTTATTGTGGACACATTACTGACACATGTATCACAGTTTCATGGAAAATTATGAACATTCTACTGTATACATATTGTAAAGGTCACAAATATGCATCATATACGATAAAAGAAACAAATAAAACCGCATTGGAAATGCATAGGAAAAATATTTGAAAATATATTTGTGGCAACACGCGGTGCTTGAATGGCCTGCGCGACCGTGTCTGGGAGCTTCACACACGGGCGACCAGCCCCTGATGACGTCACAGCGCACCTTGTCCATGCCCTCACAGCCAAAGTAAGTGGAATTTGGTAATTATTTTTACATAGACATGTTCAGGGACGGTAATTTATCATTTTACAAAGAAAAATTATATTTTGGGGAACATTTGATGTCATGCACACTAGGGAAATTTCACAATAAACACAGTGCATCACACTGGTTACATGGGGGACACTCGTTTTGTATGACGTCCGTTTCACATGACGAACATGGAACGGATTAAATTCGTTATGGGAGGTACCACTGTACTAAGTGTGTAATACAGTGTGTTACTGTATAAAAAGTGTGTGAAAGTGTACATGTTGTAAATACAGTGGCACCTCGACTTACGATAATTTCGAGTTACGATGTAAATTTCATCGAAAAATGCGACTCGACTTACGATAGTGTCGTCGAGTAACGATATTTGTTGGTACGCGTTTGGGTCGACTGAGCGCATGGTTCCCTGTCACGTGGGCCAACCTGCCTCAGTTTATTAAGAGCTGCCTGCTTAGTGACGATTACGCCTATAAGAAATTACGTTTTTTTGGTGTTTTTTTGCTTTTTGAACATAAAACTGATTATTATATATCACGCCAAGGATCCCAAGAAAGTCAGTGGTAAGGTTCAACCTAAGAAAATAGTTGAGTTGAGGCAGTAGAGGCTGTCCCTTCCTCATTAAGAAAATGTGTAAAGTATGGCAAGAACTGCAAAGTTTTGTTGAAAAGACTCACCCAGATAAAGCTGTAGCAGGCCGTTGCATTGACCTTTTAAATGATAGTGTGATGTCTTACTACAGACAAGTGTTAAAACGTAGGGAAAAACAAGTGTTTTTAGACAGATTCTTAGTAAGACAAACAAGCAGTGAGCCACAAGCAGGTCCTAGTGGTATGCAGGCAAAACATGCCAGAGAGTGTATCCCAGAAAAGTCATCACTGCCTGATGTTATAATGGAAGGGGACTCCCCTTCCAAACAGTAACACCTCTCCTCCTCCCCCCTCATCACCATCTTCCATACACCATCAAGAGTCCTCCAACAAAGTAAGATAAATATATGTACTGTATTGTAGTTAGAGAACAAAATTGTATTCAGTATAAAATGTATTTGTAAGTTAATATTTTGGAGGGTGGGGAATGGATTAATTCAATTACCTTTATTTCTTATGGGAAAAATCGCTCAAATTTTGACTTACGATCCGTCTCTGGGAACGGATTACCATCGTAAGTCGAGGCCCCACTGTACAGAGGAGCCTCGATTAATGAATTTAATCCGTTCCAGCACCGAGCTTGTCATGTGAAACACTCGTCTTCAAGAGGAAACTAGATGTATTCCTCCAAGGAGTGCCGGACCAACCGGGCTGTGGTGGGTATGTGGGCCTGCGGGCCGCTCCAAGCAACAGCCTAGTGGACCAAACTCTCACAAGTCAAGCCTGGCCTCGGGCCGGGCTTGGGGAGTAGAAGAACTCCCAGAACCCCATCAACCAGGTATCAACCAGGTATCTTGTGAAACAAATTTAACTATTTAAGATAATGGAAATAAGATTTATCCATTCCACCCCGAAAAACATCAGTATGACATTTTATAATGTAACTATAATATGTACTGTACTGTAATTATTATGTTTTGTTTTACTGTTTTCAATTGTACTTTACCTTATGAAGAGTTGTTGCTGGCTTGAGGATGACGATGGGGAGGTTGGGAGGAGGAGAGGGGTTACGGTGTGGAAGGAGAACACCATAACTCAGAGGCCCGCCTGACCTCTGAGTCAGGCAGGCTCTCTCTCCTTGTGAATTTCACCCCACTGGGACCGGGTTGT